TTCCTGGGTTTCAAGCAACATTGAAATAACTATTTTTTTAAAACATGTGGAAGTGCTTGAAGCTCATGGAAATGATTTCAAGTCATGTCTACATTTTTAGCTTTAAGGCACACCTGCTAGAAAATAAATTCTCTTGAGCAGAGATTAAAGAGCTTTAAAATGGTCTTAAAATGGCCCAGGGAAGCTTGTTTAAGCTTTTAAATCAAGACAGTACATTTCTAATTAACTTGTAATTATTTACTGCTAATTTTTAATGTGACATTTAGTATCGACCACATATCACTTTTTCTCCAGCTGTCAGAACAGTCCCTAAACTAAACCTTCTTCACCAGCTGTTGCCTAATTCAGTATGGTCTGAGTTGGAAAAATTCCAACTTCAAAATTTTTCCAACTCTGCCTGCACATAATTTCTAAGTCTCAACAGACCTGTGCAAAAATGAACCATAACTATAATCTTTCATGTTACTCATAGTTCTATTTAATTATCTGAAATACTACCTGATAAATAGCACAATCAGAAGAATTCCAGTTTAACAGTAACTAATTCCACATCACTTTTCTGCTCTCGTCTAATTTGAAACAGGTTTTGGATTACTAACTCTAAATTATGTAAACTCCTAATCAATGATTAATTTAAGAATCTTCAGGCTGCTGCCTTTTTCTTTTTTCTTTTTTAATGTGGTTCCTAAGTATCACTAAATTCAGGCTTAGTCAAATGAAACTTTTTTATTTCCTAGACTTTTTAGACCTTTATTTTCTACTGAGTTTGTTGAGGGTACAAAAGATAGGTGGTTAGAACCAAAGAAGAGTAAATCCTCATAAACAGAAAATTATTTTCAAAGAAAATGTTTCTTAATGTAGAATTGAAGGTACATTTGTATTAAGTGCCTCTGACACAGAGAATTATCTGAATTAAGTGGAAAAACTGTTCCTCATTTAAAACCAAATTCATCAATGAGTGGAAATAGAGTGATGTTTGTAGAGCACTATGTAAATACTAGGCATTCTCATTTACTATTTTGTTAGAACCTGAACACAACAATGGCAGGCCATTGTTATTACCTTCATTTTGCAGATGAAGCTCACAGCTGAGAGTTAGAAGAAATCTCTCAAGTTTACAAAGGAATAATTCTTAGAGTTTACATTCAAACTCAGGTGAGTCTGACATCAACATTGTAGCTGTGGCTTTTGCCCACAGAAGTGTGCTGCCTTCAGATCAAGGTATATGGGGATGGGCTTGTGTCTTTTATGTTTCAGTGGTGATTGCATATGAAAATATGATTTTTTTTAATTTATCAAATATTCATTGAGTGCTACAGTGTGAGTCACTTTTCTAGGAGCTGATTGTGCTATTGTGAATATTGACCTTCATTAAGCTATGTAGCTTATATGCATTTTCTAAAAATCTGGGATTTATTTTTTGCTCTTCTGTTTGACATTAGGGATCTCAAAGGATCCCAGTGAGTTGGTGATCATCTACAATATTGAAAAAGTGTTGGACTTGATCCCATGTGGATCCATGTTTGTTTTTTCTACTTGGTACTTTGGTGAAAGAGTCAGTTTATATGTGCTGGCTCTGCTTCTTCATTTGTATAATGAGAGGAATGAAATGTATGATCTTTGAGGTTTTTCTGAGTACTAAAACTCTAAGTACACTCATGTTCTATGGGTTAGTCCCAGTGATTCATGTGATCAATGCAAGGTTATATTATTTTATTTTGTGAAAGTCAGCCTTTCTATTATGTAGAAATTGAATTAAGCAGTCCTACCTAACTCTCTTTACTGTTTCCAATTATTTTAAAATTATCTGCATAGAGATGTAATTAAAAAGTTTGTATGATTGATATATTTTTTAAATGATGGCTCTTTAAATATGCCACTCAACATTTTCCATGCTTTTAATTGTCTTTTAAAAAGGGATTTCTTGGTACTTGGGCTACAAGTTTTTCTGAAGATGAAAGTCGATCACCTGAAAGTACAAAAAAAAAAAGAAACAGGAGTTTATTAGCTAAACATTGCCCTCTTAAAAATAGCATTAGTGCTCTAAGAGAAATTGTTCAATTGATCAATATTCCATTGAGTACCTATCATATACTCAGCATTGTACAAGATTATTAACTATACTTTAACACATCTTCACTATTTCAAATGATCAAATGATGTGGCCAAAGGCAAGCTGAGACTTGTCAGCTAGCAAAGGTCTTTGTCCTGAGGTTACTCTATTTAGGATATACTTAAACAAAACATTAATGGGTTCTATCATATTTATTAGATTTCTTAGAACTGCAGGAGCCAACATAGCAAAGCAATGACTCTATTTAGCTATAGGTACTCTGTGGTTTTCACATTGGTTCTTGAATCCAAATTTCCACGAATACTGTGAAATGTACTCAGATTTGTGAACTAATGTTCCTGACACATCTCATATTTTCCTCTGGATTTCTTTGTGGGCTGTCAGACAGACATGTTTTTCTTTGGGTTTTGCCATAGAATTCCCTTATGGGATAGATTTCAACCCTTAGTCAGCCTTGGGGGAAAATAAATGTTTCCTTATATATGAACTTAGTTCATATCATGTTGCATAACTATTCCGGGTGCACAGCCCTGTATATTTGGAATATTCTCTGGGGCTTAAACTTTCCTTTCAGAGATAGTTTGTTTGAAAACCTATCAGTATTGTCAAAGATAGAGGCTTACATGCTTTCATACACAGGGCTGTCAGAATCAAGTTTCTAAACTATTCTCGATTGTATAAAGATCACAATTAAAATTTTCTCTCTTGCCAGATCCTATCTTTAACACTGTATGCATAATCCTTTAGGATATCAGTATTTAACACTGCCAGAAAGAGTTATTAAATGTGATAACTCCAGAAAGATTATTTCTGTAATATCAAACATGGAAAACTAAAGTACATTTTAGGTCTGTAATCCTAGAATTGCCTTGTAATGTAATGAAGTGAAATTGCTTCATGTAAAAGAAGTTCATATGGTTGAATTTCCGGCTCTGGATTTGAGCAAAATGAAGTGTTCCATAGGTCCATGATGAAACTTGGATAATCAAAGGCATTACTTCTCTGAGTTTTCCGGATTGGGTCTCTCAGTGAGAGATGTCAGAATCCTATATATAAAACCACAAGCTCTGGAGTCAGTTGACCTGAGTTCAAATTTGAGCTCTGGCACTTTTTAGCTATAAAATTGAATAGTATGATACATCACAGGGAATTTGTGGGGATTAAATAATGAATATAAACTGCATAGCATGAAGCCTAGCACATAGGAAATGCTTAATATATGTTAGCTAAAATGAATCAACAGAAATAAACCTTTACCTCAACACTCATTTCCAAGCATCTGTGAAGCAAACTTAGGCTATGAAGAAATTTGCAAATGATTTTGGGATTTTCTTTGGACTAGAATATTTTGGCACCACCCATCCTGGTAGGAAGGAACCAACATTCACTGGCCATCTCCTGCACATCAGATGATATGTTAGAATCTTTGCATAGATGAGCTCATAAAATTCTTTAAAAAAGCAAAAATACCTATGAGAGATTCCGATTTTAAAATAAAGACATAAGCTCAAATAATAATAATAAGTTGCAGAGCTATGATTTAAATTCGTATCTCTTTGACTTACTAATCCAAGTTTTTAACTCCTCCACTGTGCTGCCTCTCTAAAGGCAAAGCCTCCTGAAATTCAACCATGTTATATGACTTCTGTGTGCCATGAAGAGAGAAAAATAAAAGTGGAAAGTGATGAAGATTTTTACCATAGAGAAAACTTGACATTTCCTGTGAAAAGGCATAGATGATTTCAAATGGTGCACAAGCCTAGAAACTTTGCGGGAGGCTTTGAAATGTAATTAGGCGTACACATTCAGGCATATTCTCAGACTTGTTTCTGTAGCTCTTTCTCTTTTACTTCCACCCACACTTACATGCAGTTACAGTTGCCTGGATCAGTTTGTGTCTATTGGCAATCTTGGACTCGGATGCAATGAGGGTGGCTGGGAATGGTGGGTGGGAAATAACCACATTTGCATTTTTAAAATATCACACTGCCTGCAGTACAAATTATAGAGAAAGGCCAGATGAATGTAGGAAGATCAGTTAGGAGACTACTGCAGTAATTAAGATGAAAGACGATGATTCTTAGAGTGGACTATTAGTAATCAAGAGGATGAAGAGTTAACGGGACTTTGTGATAGAATGGATATGACTGGTGAGGTGAGGAAGGTTCAAGTAGAACTCTTAGTTCTGCAAGTTTCACTAAGATGGGGAAACCAAACCATGTTTTAGGGGACAGATCAATACCTTGTTTTTTGTATATGCTGAATTTGAACATGCTGAGTTTGAGACTTCTAAATGGAAATGTAGGATAAGAGGTTGAAATAAAGATATAAAGCTCAGTAGATTGTCCTGGATGAGAGCTATAAATATGGGGGAGGTGATCATAGTATATGTGGCAGTTAAAGCTGTGGAAATGCTTTTCTCTAAAAAGTACAGAGGATGAAAGAGAAAGGTTGTCTGTCTACCACCCATGCTTTTGGAAATCCAACATTTGATGGCTGAGTGGATGAAGATTAGCCTGCAAAGGAAATACAGGGGTGACCAGGGATAAAGGAGTAAAGGACTCCTTCAGAAGGACTGATTAACACGTGATAGTAGATAAAGGCTGAAACACGTTCATAGATTTTGTAACATGTAATGAATTAGTGACCTTAGCAAGTTCTCTGTTGATGAAGCGATGAAGGTAGACACTGAATTGCAGGGGTTGAGGAGTAAGAAGAGGATGAGAAATTGGAATAGTGTGTAGAAAGAATAAAACCTGTTGAGGAATTTGGTTTAGAACCTATGAAAATCACTTAGGCTTTCTCTTTTTTTTTTTCCCTGACTATTTAGGAAAAGCAAAATGTTTCCATTTTTAGGGTAGATTTTTTCTTGTACCACAACCAAAAAGAAAAAAAAAAAAGAAGAAGAAAAGGAAAAAGAGAATCAATCACTTCTCAGCCTTTTGGCTAAGATGATGTGTACTATCCATTCTTATTAATTTTGTATTTGATAACTCTTCTAAACAAGGACAATATCTTAAATGGGTTTTTGGAGCAGGGAGTTGTAATAGGAGCTTCCTTCATCCACTCCACGTATCGACCTGGTGTTGCAGTACCTCCAGGAATGCTGCAACCCCTGGGGGAGTAAATCAGGGTTTACGAGTAGATGAGGGGCCGCTAGCTTGTGCCCTGCAGCTCATGCTGGTCTTTCTTCTCCCGCTCCTCAGCTTATGTGTAGCCTGTTTTTCTGACTTGTGCTTTTTGGGACCAATGTTCACAATGCGGGAAGAGAGACGAGGAAAAGTGTGTAAACTTACTCATGATGGAGCTTACTGAGCATGCCAGTTTAGCTTGGTGCTTGACTCTCCTAGTCCTGGATTACTACTACAAGGAAGTGTTAAGACGAGAAAGTCAGGAATATGACTTACACATTTGATTGCTTGTTCTTCTCTTAGTGAAGTGAGGGACTCCTGGTGGAGGATTATGGAAATGGTACAGCACCCTACACGGGGGAGAAGGGGATGAGAGAGATGCAGCAGGTTTTTGTTTTGTTTTTGTTTTTTTGAAAGAAAGGAACGAAGGAAGGAAGAAAGAAAACCAAATTAAAGCCAAAGGGAAATAAATCTTCATAAGTATTTAAAAGGTAGCCTAATTTTTCCACCTAGAGATGGGGAGCTGGAATGGGAATGTGGAGCCTATTCCAGGCCAATACAGAGGAAATGCCTTACTTGAGGAAGGGTGGGAAAGGGGCAAGAGTATAGTAATGATAATTGTGGGTTCTCTACTTGGGTAAATGAAAATCCAGTGTAGTGAAATTATCTCCAAAATGTTCTCATTGACAAGGTTGATTTATTGATGTTACCAAGCCAATAATTAACTTATTTTGTTTTTCTTTGTATTTCTGATGTGATTTTTCTTTTCTTTGGGGGTAATAAACCAATGTCTAGTTTAAAGAATGTGGAGGGAGGAAGTAAGGGTAAAGGGAGGAAGATCCTTGTTACAAAAAAGAACAGCAGAAACCTTCTCTTTCTTAGCAAAGTAGAGGTAAATCATTTTGTTTAAGTTAAAGGTTGCATGATTCCACTTCATTAGCTTTTGATCACCAAATTGGTAGAAAACATTCTGTGTTTCAGGTACTATTCAACATCTTCCTACCTTTAAGCGTTTTTTTTAATGCTTTTTTTAAACATTTTTATTGATTTATAATTATTTTACAATGTTGTGTCAAATTCCATTGTAGAGCACAATTTTTCAGTTATACATGAACATATATATATATTCATTGTCACATTTTTTTCTCTGTGAGCTACCATAAGATCTTGTATATATTTCCCTGTGCTATACAGTGTAATCTTGTTTATCTATTCTACAATTTTGAAATCCCAGTCTATCTCTTCCCACCCCCTGCCCCCTTGGCAACCACAAGTTTGTATTCTATGTCTATGAGTCTATTTCTGTTTTGTATTTATGCTTTGTTTTTTGTTTGTTTTTG